ATACATCATTGTATGGATCAAATGATAGAGTATACACTAACTTTACCTGTCAATATGGCTATGGGAGTTCATCAATATATGATTGTATAAATGATGCAAGACCAGCTAATGATAGTGTAGAGTGTGCCAGTAACAATGCTGTAATACAGTGCTTTAGACCATGTGAGTTATTCATTTAATTTTAGTGATACTACATAAGTCGTGTTTCATAAAATGATTGTGAATTGTGATATCATTAAAACATTTTCCATTTTAATGCAGCTCGTAGCTGTTATTCATCATATCAGAGTGTATACTATTCTTCATTTATCACTACTACTGATAGTCGTTATGGTTTCATTGGTAGACTATCTACATGTATCAATATGCAAGAAGCAGTATACTGCAATAACACTCTAAGTGAGCTTCATAATGTTAATAGTATTATTACTATTATTATTATTATTATTATTATTATTATTATTATTATTATTATTATTATTATTATTATTATTATTATTATTCTATGTTCACAGCTTCTACTAACATTGATCTTGTATGCAGTACAAATTATCAGTCTAAAACTGGTCTACCATATCCATTAGTTGGATCAGCTAAGGATTATGGAGTCAACTTCATACCTAATTACATTACTGACTTCAGTTGTCCAGCTGATAGTCCTTATGCTGATAGTTCTTGCAATTACACCACTAACACACAGTCTTGTACTGGCTATGGTGGACCTAGCATTGTCACTTGTATTAATGGTAAACAAAAATATGATCATATTTATAATAGACAGATCCAGTTGTTTAGTGTAACTATTGCACCTATTTTCTCTTCCTTAGGTCCTTATAGTTGTGGTTCTGGTAATATTCAAATCCGACAAGGTTCTTATGGTTCTGGTCGTCTCAACAACAATCAGTACCTTGTCACTGGCTATCCTCAAATCTGTGTTACTTATGATTACATACCAATATGTAGAGATGGAGTGAGTGAAGAGGAACTCCGTTATATTTGCTATAGGACTGGATATTATGGTAAGTGAGACTCCATTTTTATACCTTCAGTAAGTTATATATATTCTCCTCTTCTTTTCACCACAGGGTATACCCTTGGTCCAGTGATAGGTTCTGAGTCTAACTTTACAGCTCCTAATAGTACTTATTCAGCCACTAATCTCTCCTGTCCTATATTCAGTGAATATGATAACTGCAACTACACAACCTTTAATGGCAACTGTGACACTAGAGGTGGTCCAATATTACTTACCTGCTTACAAGGTAAACATATACTTATAGCAAATAATACCTATAATTTTTCTTATTGTATAGTTCCTCGTATGTGTTATCATGGAGATGTAAGAATTGTAGGTGGTCCCAATAATTATACTGGTCGACCAGAGTTTTGTTACTTTGGAACATGGAGGAGTATCTGTGGAATTGGTTTTGATCTTTATGATGCTTCAGTCACTTGCTCTCTAGCCGGATTCAATCATGATTGTAAGTAATAAATTGTTAATAAAATACTTGTGAAAATAATGTTTTTGAGTAATAAACATTTGATATTATGTTAGCTAATTTTGATAGTATAAACTTTAGAAGTATTCTGATACATTGAGGTCCTTATGTTATGTAGAAATTTTTAGCCGATTCTGACTTTGATTTTTCAAGTTATGACTATTTTTTTAACTCTCAATTTCTGAGTACTATAGCCAATGGTTTTTCTAAAAAAATGGCTCCAAAATCACCCCCAATCTTTGTTACATTTCCTGATACATATTGATATTTTTATGCTATAGTGGCAAGGAATTTATCTGCTGGTAGTTATGGTTACAATAATCTCCCTCCTGTACTGGCTGGTTTGCAGTGTACTGGTAGAGAAGGATCGTTCTCTAATTGTACTCCAATCAATGGAGACCTCTTGAGTTCTTGTAACTACACTCAAGCAGCTGCTGTGGCCTGTGAACCTGTCATTCGTAAGTGCTCTACATGTACTCCTGCTATAACCTGTCACTATAATAACAATTATGAATTTTGAATTTTTAAATTCTATTTTTAGTTGCTATCAATACTACAATCAATGGTACTGCTACACTTGGTCCTAACACTAACTTAACATTGACTTGTACACTGGACTATCAATTCTTGTCTGGTGACTTCCAGTTAAACTCTATTGGTTGGTATCGTAATGGTGCTCGTCTTTCTTCAGTTTCTGGTCGTTACAATCTCACAGAGTCTGAGGTGGAACAGTATAGGTGTGGTTATTATGGTTATTATCGTTGTGATAATGAAACTGTTGCTGTTCGTCTGGTGTTAGCATTTGAGAACCTCATGCTGTCTGATGCCGGAGAGTATGATTGTCGTGTTAATTTGACTGATTTTAATGTGTCAAGAACAGTTGTTAACAGCACCACAGAGACACTAAACATAATAGGTAATTTTTACTAATATATATTTTTTATTTATCAATTAATTTTTTGCTCTTCTGTAGCTGGACCACAATTAATCTCTAGTCCTCAGAACTACACTGTTATTAATGGAAGCAATGTTATGTTTAACTGTTCATTTACATCAGAGCTAATGATGACAGCACAATGGTACTATGCATCACTGACTGGTACTACTAATGGCAGTCCACTGACAAGTGGAGTTAGACTAGTTGTTAGTCCAACAGTTTATAATGGAGTCAATCAGTATAGTACCAGTTTGAGCATTAACACTGCTATGGTACCAGATATTGGTGTGTATCAATGTGTAGGAAGTTCTACTAATGGAATAGCTACTGGATATGGATCTCTTATAGTACTAGGTTAGTTTTTATTAAGTATCATGTCCCAGCTATGATATTCCCATTCTTTTACACTAGTTGCTGGTACGATTGATGTCACTGCAGTAGCTCAGTCAATAGAAGAAGGGAACACACTAACACTTACATGCACTGTATCAAGCAGCTATCCAGAAGTATCAACCTTCTCTTGGTTCAGGGGTAGTAGCCTAATCACATTAACTAACCGTGTTACAATAAGCACTGGCTCCACTATTGATACTAGCACTGGACTCTATACTAGTACAAGTCAATTGATGATACAAAACACATTGACTGGTGATAGTGGTCAGTATTTATGCCGTGTTCCTCCTGTGTTTTCTCTACCAAGCCTATTGGACCGTATTGCTGTTTCAATAACACGTATGCCTAAATCATAAGTATTATAAGTTATTATAAATAATTTTTCTCTTACTTTTTTATTTATAGCAAGGAATGAGTGTATTATTGATGGTGGAAGCACTCCATGTGTCAATGGATATTGTGTTGATGAAGTGAATGATTATTATTGTGTCTGTCCTGATAATTTCTTTGGAAGAAACTGTGAAACACCAGGTAGCCAAATAACATGCAGAATGATCTTGTTATATTTATTTTTGTACAGTTGTAATCAATTCTGCTCCTGTAATTGTGACTCCTCCAATGGATCAAGATGTTCCACTAGGAAGTCTTGTCAACTTGACTTGTGTAGCAACAGGTGCTCCACAGCCAGTCATCACTTGGTATTTAGAAGGGACTCTTATACCTGGAGCCAACTCACCAATCTACATTATTGATAGCATTCAGCCTGCTCAGAGAGGAACTTATTCTTGTAGAGCTATGAATAGTGAAGGAATGGTTCAAGCTACTGCAACAGTTACTATTAATGGTATGTTATGACTTCACCAAAACAACCAAATGCTCACCTGTTTACCTTCTGCTTTGCAAAAAGTTCCAGATAATTTTTGAGTTATGAGTAGTTTTAATTGACTATATACAATACCTAATTTTCCTATTCATTAATGTGCTCGTTATTCTTAATAGATATCAGGCAATACGTTACAACACTAACAGCTTCCTCGAGTCGAAAAAGACAAGTACAGTTGCCTCCTGCTATTGAAGCAGTTTATAATCAAGTAATTCAATATTACAACACTACACACTATTGGTTACTGCATATCTCCTTATTTTAGACTCGTGATACTCTTGTTGGTAATGAACTTTCACCTGGTAGTGGTATAATAGTTGCTGACATTACATATGCCCTTGCGTAAGTCATTATATATTTATTTGCTTTTTTACACCTTTAAAGTTGATTTTAAGCATATTTCATGTCATTATGTATTCTCATCACTGATTGTATCTCTTATTATGTATAATACTACATTTTTTCAACATACATACATGTATATAGGAGTGATGGTGCTGGTGTCTTATTTATCTTCACTCTACGAGTTCCTCCAATGGCTAATACTGATGGAATTACAAACTCACTGAATGCTCTTACTGCTGATATTGCTGCAAATTATCCTGGCATTAGCTTCTCTCCAGTTATGAGATTTGGTATGAATAAAACATTATTATCATTACATTATTTTTAGTAAAACAAAATCAACATGACACTTCATTATATTAGCTCCAACACATTGATCATTAATGTATTCATTTCTATTAGATGGTTGTTCTCCTGAGACACTACCAGTGACTGCTGGTAGTTCATTGAATATAATGTGGCCTGAGGTTGATGTCCGTGTTGTTGCAAGACCAATCTGTCCCTGTGGAGATATTGTAAGTATTGTAACAATTATTGTGAATACAAGTTATGTTCATTTTGAGTGTGCAAGTATGGCATTCCTCATTTTTTCATAGACAACTAATTTTGGAGCTGTAGGAATAAGAAGATGTAATGGTACGTTCAGTGCCCCTGCTGTATGGTTAACTCCTAATACTACTCAATGTATTTTTGACCAAACTACTACCAGACTCTGTCAGCTATCAATGGTAAGAGAGTGCTAGATAGTATACAGTATGCATGATTGCATCAACAGAATTGAATTTAATAGATTATTAATTCTTTCCTTTACCATCCTTTGCCCTTTCCTTTTTTGTTTTTCAATTCCTCACTGATTTCTGTCCTTCTCTATTATAGAATGATAATGCAGAAGAGGTTGCCACACAATTGACTAACATCACTACTAATACTCAAGAGATTGATCCTGTTGATATTGGCCTCATTGGTACGCTAGCTGAAGAGGTTGCTGAAGATGCATCTGATCCCGAAGTATGCATAACTTTTATAAATTTTTTTGTATCTTGCAAAATGAAATGCTCACTTTTTCTTTTCATTTGTGTCTGACTTCTTAATTGTTAACTTTAAATTTTATCATTAATAGGTTTTGGATTCACTAATGAGCACAATGAATAATATCCTTGATGCACCAGATTCTGTATTGGAGGAGAGTCAGCAATCTAGCAATGGATCACAAAGGTATGTATTGTAATGTAATACTGGTCTTACATTAAAAGGGAGAACTTTAATCATGTTTTTATTAATACAGGATTGTCAATGTAATTGAGGCCATGGCAAGGACTGCAAATATCACAAGAGGTGGCTCAGTGACTGTAGTTAGACCTAATGTAGCTATTGAAGCTCAGGCAGTCGAAGCTTCTACATTTAATGGTGCTGAATTCTCTATTGGCACAACTTCAACGGGAACACTGGATGAGAACACCACCTCTTCATCAACCAATGTTAATTCAGTATCCATACCACCTACTCTTTTAACAAATGTTGGTGTGAATGGCTCTGCTAGAATTGGTTTCTCTGCGATTACTAATAGTAAATTATTCCAACCGAGAGATACAAGTAGTAATACTCCTCCTGTACGTGTTGAGTCTATTGTCCTCTCCATTGATATCTACATTGATGGAGGATCACGTGTTACTGTACAAGAACTCAGTGATCCGATAACACTCTCATTCACTATCACTCTGAACACAGGCTCGTCACGCAGGAGGCGCCAGGCAACTCCAAGCAATACCATATCTGAGTGTGCTTTCTGGGATACTACTAGTAAGTCACAAATAATTATTTGTTATAAATTTCATGGGTGTGATTCATTAATATTTTATTCTAATATTTAGGCTTCACTTGGTCTACTACTGGTATAACTACTGTCCCTACAGCTACTGGTGTCAATTGCATTGTCACTCATTTATCAAGTTTTGCTGTTGTACAGGTAATATACTAAATAAATGTACATTGCAGCCACAAGCATTTTGAGCATTATTTTATGTGATTGGAATAGCTCATCTAAAAAATCTGGCTAGTTAAAGCAACAGCTATTATCTCTTATTCTTTTATAGAGGGATGCTCCTGTTTCATCTTCAACCACACCAACACCGACTCCTACTGGTGTTACTCCTCCTACTGAACCAGTTACTGAAGAATACAGTCCTGAGCCAATACTCTTTATTGGTCTCATCATTTCTATAGTATTAATTCTGGTTGCTGTTATTGGTCACCTAGCATCAGAGTAAGACACACACACTCTCTCTACATTTTAAATATACTTTCTTTGTGTAGTGCACAGCGTCATTGTCCAGAGGGTAGATTGCTAGCTACATCTCATATAACACTCATAATACTCTACTTTGTCTTTGTATTGGCTACTGCTGCTACATACACTGATTCAACTGGTAAGTACATGTACATTAGTAGCAATTCATCTTTAACATTACATCTTAGGTTTCTGCGGTACATTTGCTGGATTGTTCCATTACTTCAGTTTGGTCTACTTTGTCTGGCTAATGTTTGAAGGATTGTTTTATGCTGTTAAACTTCGTATGGGAATTGGTGGCAATGCTTTCACCCGCCACTACTTTATTGTGTCATTGGTTTTTGCACTAAGTAAGCTGCATTGTCACATATATTATTCTTCTTCATTCGTTATCTTTTAGTATTGCCTGCTGTCATTGTTATTATTTCTGCTGCTCTTGGATATAATTATTATGCTATGGAAAATGTGTTGTATGTTACACTTTATTAATTACTAGTCACTTTTAATTTTTTTATTTTTTCTTTCAGCTGTCGTCCACAAAAGTTTTTATTCTACTCTGGATATGTTATGCCAGTGGCTGTCCTTTACCTAACAACCTTAATCAGCTATTGTGTGTCGTTCTTCCTTATTTATTGCTTCGAAATGACCTCAGCAGAGAAGCAATTCCGTAAAGACTCGGTCATATCTCATTACTACGCTGGGTTGATCCTCTTTATTATATTTGGTGTTGTATGGGTATTTGCCATCACTGGTACTCAGTACAACATCACTGGTCCCGGATCAACTGCCCTTCAGTATGTATTTGGCTCCTTCTCCATGATTCATGCTCTGTTACTCGTTATACTGACGTTTGCTCGTACTTCTGATACTCGCTTAGCTTTTAGACCCATTGCTAGAATGATCCCAGGACGAACTGGAAAGTATGAGTTTGCTGCCGATACAAGGGGAGCTCAGGAAACATATGGACTGGATATTTCAGGAAAATATTTGACTGACGAGACTAAAATGGCTAGGGCTGACGAGAAGGAGCCACTTGCTGTTGTAAGTTAAAATTTTAAGTACATGTGCATGTAAAAAATTTATGACTGCATTGATTGATGGTTGTACGACTTCATAATTTTTTTGATGATTGTACGACTTTTAATTTTTACATTTTTATTTTTAGAGTAATATTGATGAAGATGATGAGCCTCGTTATGTCACATCAACATCAGTTACTGTAGTTGTCAATGAAGATGCCCTTGAAGGCGATGAAAAGACAGAGCTCTAATTTTAACTCATAAGTGTTTTAATCAATAGTTTGTCTTCTCCCCCCCTCCCATTTCTTAATTAAGTATTATTATTTTTTTGTCTCCAGTAACTCTTTCGTATTCATTTCATTCAATGCAATCCCTCATTATTTAATTTGATAGATATGTGAACTGCAAATTTTAACAAGTTGGCTCGATAAAGTGTTAGTGCATCTTATTAGGACTGCACATAGTGTCTATCAACACTGTAATGTGCTCTCCCACACCACTGGATGAGTTTGCATCCTGCAGTGGCGTCATAGCAAGTCATAGATCTAATTAATTATAGATAACCTGCCATTTTTGCCACGCTTCTCTCTGCAGTCGCTTGCTCTTCGTTGCTCGCTGTTGGTTATCAAAAAGACTCATCTCAGCCGCAGATCCTGGTACAGCGAGGAAGAAGGAAAGCCTGTAAGTACGGGGCCATTAGATCTAGTCTAACTAAAACAAATGTAAAAGTCCAGCCGGCTTGTTGTTTAGTTAACTTAATTAGACTAATCATGTGTGGACACTTTGTAATAGACTAACTTTGTAAGGATGGACTGTAGTATGTACATGTAGTATCTCCTGTATTGCAATATATGCTTTACAATGTGTATTGGAGGATTACTCACACGTAGAAGACAGCTCTATAGATATATATAAATGAACATGATGCTATTGTAGTTGATTTGTGAATTCTGTTGCCATGAATAGCTGTTAATAAACTCACACTTTGCATTATTGTCTCTTGCTAATTAGCTCATATTATACATAAGCCAGACAGTCTTTATACACATTGCCCTGGATTTTCCCCTCCCCTACCACTGCTACCTGATGGAGGGCAGAGTTCAATTGATAAAGGTCGTCTATGATTTTAACTGCATTGTGATCCTCATGAATGCTAACATGTTTTATTGTGCAGTGCTGGTTTGTTATTTTTGAGCAGTTTTCTGCATGTGTTTCAGTTCGCTCTCGAGAAGTTTTAGTTTCTAAGAGTAACCTTGGCAAAATATTTAACTGCTTGATTATGATAGTAATAAAATACTGGTGATAGATAATAAATTATAATAGTTTTCTTTTCAAATTTTTTCGCATTGTTAGCACTATAATTGACACTTATTTTTGGCATTTAAATGTGTGTTTGTTTTCTTTATTTTTTGTGTACCCAGTAAATCAATAGATGCATGAAGTGCATATTGACTGCAATGAATACTGTCACGCACTTGACTGCACATAGGCACACAGATACAATCAAATAAACAAACAGTGTTTAATATTACATTCTTCACATTAGAGTCTTAATTTAAACAACTGGTACATTTTACATGCTCTGAGTCTCCCTTACTTTGATAAGATATTGTGATTATTAGTTGAGCTACATGCATCAGACAAATGTACAGTATACATTTACTGTCTCCATCTGCTGTTAACTGATGATGTACTGTAGGTCTTAAGGTCTTAATAATAATTCTGTTATATGAGAAGTTAGCAAGAGCTACTCTTACAGCATTATAATTTATGATTACAGTAAATTTACCATCATTGATTTTGTCTGCCCTAAGCCACTTTGCCTTGTTAGTAAACTGTCATGCTTATGTTATACCTAAATATGTTTATCTAAATATATTGAAATAGAATATCATGTGTATATTGAATCCTTTACTTTGCTTAATAAGAGTACTGCTATACATGTAGGTGCATTTATTGTGCCTGTCTATAATAGTCTATCAAGTCATGTTATTCATAAATACAATAATATGACCTGAAGCTCATATGTGAATGCTTTATCAAGTTACATGTGTATGTTGACAAAGTTTTATTCTAGCTCACTCCCATTTTCTCTGTCACCAGTCACTGCTCCTTACTATATCCTATGACACTCTTCTTGCTGTAATAATTCATCCTTATTAGTAGTGACCTAGTGTCTGTGGAATGTGTTCTGTAGTAGCACCAGTAGTGATAGACACAGGTTAATAAGATTCAAGACTGCTTAGCATTATTCTTGTGTCACTGTTAATTCTGTTACACTTGTTCTTGTTCTACAATAATTTGTCAGGGCTGTAGCTCTCCTTCCTGCCTGCACTATGTGTTATATTTTATGCTAGTACAGTTAGTAATATTGCTTTATTGTAGCATATAGTGTAACTCCTGCGTGATGTTGTTGTAGTGCTTGTTGTAATAAAAATATTATTCTCTTAGTGTCCTTTTTAAAATTTGATAATGCATTAGTTTATAATTGTACAGTTTGATTCCAAAACAATTTCAATATGAATTTACTTCCTTCTTTGTGTTTAGTATATTATATAATGTATTCTATCAGGCTTTAAGGCTTAAGTAAAATGTGATTTCATGCCTTGAATTATTCTTGTAGTTAGATTAGACATTATTAGCAAAAGGTGATGTCCCACATTAAAGACATGGCTTATGTACATGTAGCCTCCTTTCTCCCTATCTGCCCCTCCCTCTATCCTTTATCATTATCAATGTATGGGAAGAATATTGATAGCCTAAAATGTAAATCAATTCATTCCTTTACCACACACACACACACACACACACACATCACTGTTAATATACTCATAGCATGTTTCAGGTATTTTAACTACATCGAATTAACTTAATAATTTAGCATAGCATGTGCTTGGCACATGGTGACCTCTATCATTTATTCATTGCTGAGGTTATTATCATTGTAATAACTGTCTGAACCAGCTGTTAGTTCAGGTGAACATTAATTGACATGTAGTGGTAATGAATTTTAGAGTATAACATTTTTCTCTCTTCTTTTTTTTATGTCATTCTTATGGACAGGCTTATCTCTCAAAGTGTCGAGCAATTCAAAAAAGGTACATTATGTTTTTGAGTGTACAAATCTGTTAAATATCCAACTCCTCCCTTTCTTTTTTTCTCCTCAATAGCTCACACAATGAGAATTATTTATTTATTGTCATTGCTGGCGTCAGCCAGTATACAGTCAACCAATGCTCAGTTTGATTTTCCTGACTGTTTCCCTGGGCAGACTCAATTCAATAGTACTATTGTAACGTCTGATTATGTAACTGGATATCCTCTTGTGTGTGCCAATGGGACTTTTGCTCCAGTCTGTAATGGTGCATCTGTTGGATATGTGGGAACAGTAATACTCTGTTCTCAATTCAATATCACTTGTTAGTTACATGAGTCTGTGTGTGCATACTTTTTATTGCTATCATTATTATTATTACTATTTTATCATTATTATTATTATTATTATTACTTTATTATTATATTTTGTTATTACTATACACTCCTTTCTTTCTATAGCTGGATATGTTGGTACTCCTCCTAATGTTACTTTAGCTCCACTCAACGAGAACGACATCAGTTATACTGTCACTGATTTAAATTGTGACTATTTAACAGGTTGCTCTAATCCCATGTTTTCTGGGGATGATTGCACCAATGGATATCTGTCTTTCACTTGTCCTTTATGTGAGATAAATACTTCATCATTATTATTATTATTATTAGTGTACTAGCATGCATTATAACAAGCTACCAATGTACATTTTTTATTAGGCAAAATGCATTTTATTTTTATCTATCTATTTTTATGTGTCTTGCTCCTTCTATTTTGATTTTACTTTCCTCTTTTCTTCATATTATATCTCTTTTCTCCAGCTCTTTGTGATGGTCCTGAGTTTAGTCTGTACAACAATGAGACCACGTATATAAATGGGACTGAAGTTGTCACTGGTATCTTTGGGATATGTCAAGATGGAGTACTGATTGGATATTGTGATGACGGGAGTATATTTGATGGTGCAGCCCAGTTGTTGTGCAATGGGCTCGGATATTTAAGTAATTTTATGATTTTATGATCAATTCTTCGTTTTTTAAACTCTACAGTTTATTATCTCTTTTTAAAATCCAAAACATTTTTTTGTAATGCCCTTTACTTACTCTTCTTTTTAGATGGAGAACAGGTTGCTTCAAACTCAAGACTACCACTTGGTGCTGCTTACCTGACAAATTTCATGTGCATTTCCACTCCGTATGGTCCTTCTAATTGTACTGAGGGTATGCTAGCCACTAATCCAGCCTGTTACAATGGATCATTGGATTATACTCTACGCTGTTCTGTTAGACGTGCAAGTAAGCGAATGAGAAAACCATCAACTAAACTAATGATGCATTGGGTAGCCTATGCTTTTTTTTCTGAAAAATGGCTCCAAAATTACCCCCAATTTTTGTTACATTTTTTATACATATTAACGTCCTTATGCTATGTAGAAAGTTCGAGCCAATTTCGATTTGAATTTTTAAAGTTACAGTCATTTTTTTAAACTCTAAATTTCGGAAAAATACCCCGTACTATAGCCCATGGTTTTTTCCAAAAATTGGCCCTGAAATCATCCCCAATTTTTATTACATTTTCTGATACATATTGATGTACTTATGCTACATAGAAAGTTTGAGCCAATTCTAATTTGAATTTTTGAAGTTACGGCCATTTTTTAAAAACTCCAAATTTCGGAAAAATACCCTGTACTATAGCCCATGGTTTTTTTCCAAAAATTGGCCCCGAACACACCCCCAATTTTTATTACATTTTCTGATACATATTGATGTACTTATGCTACATAGAAAGTTTGAGCCAATTCCGATTTAAATTTTTAAAGTTACGGTCATTTTTTTAACTCTAAATTTCGAAAAAATATCCTGTACTATAGCCCATGGTTTTTCCAAAAAATGGCTCCGAAATGACCCCCATTTTTTATTACATTTTCTGATACATATTGATGTACTTATGCTGCATAGAAATTTTGAGCTGATTCCGACTTCAATTTTCAAGTTATGACCATTTTTTAAAAACTCCCAAATTTTGGAAAAATACCCTGTACTATAGCCCATGGTTTTTTCCAAAAAATGGCTCCGAAATCACCCCCAATTTTTATTACATTTTCTGATACATATTGATGTACTTATGCTACATAGAAAGTTTAAGCCAATTCCGACTTCAATTTTTAAAGTTATGACCATTTTTTAAAAACTCCCAAATTTTGGAAAAATACCCTGTACTATAGCCCATGGTTTTTTCTAAAAAATGGCTCCGAAATTACCTCCAATTTTTATTACATTTTTTGATACATATTGACATCCTTATGCTATATAGAAAGTTTGAGCCAATTCCAACTTCAATTTTTAAAGTTACGGCCACTTTTTAAACTCCAACTTTTGGAAAAATACCCTGTACTATAGCCCATGGTTTTTTATAGCCCATGGTTTTTTTTAATGGCTCCAAAATTGCCCTCAATTTTTATTACATTTTTGATGAATATTGATGTACTTGTGCTGTGTATAAAGTTTGAGGTGATTCCGACTTGAATATTTTTAATCATGGTCATTTAAAAATAGGCTAATTTCTGGTTTTGGCTCATTTTGATTACATTTTCTGATGCAAAATTAACGTCGTTACAAATTTGAGTTGATTCTGATGATATTTTTAATTTAAAAACTGAAACTCTTTTATTACTATTTTCTGTCTTCCCAGGTTGTGATGGATATAATGTCGCATTGAATTACAATACAACCAGTATAGTCAATGGGACTGAATACATAACTGGTGTACCCACTCAGTGTAATGATGGATATATTGATGCTTTGTGCAATGATGGGTCTATTACTCAAGATACAACTGATTTCTTGTGCCAGTCTATTGGATATTTAAGTATGAATGCAAATGTATTTTATGCCGCAATATTATTATAATAGAGGCTTTATTTGTTATCGTATATTGTTTTATACTTTATCCTCTAATTTCCTTTATAGCTGGTCAACTATTGATGGTTAATTCTACACAGTATGGGACACTACCTCAAGGAACTGCCTACTACACTAACTTCACTTGTCCAGCTAATGCTCTTAGTCTTGATGATTGTGGAGCTATATTAGTACAATGTCCTTCTGCTGGTAGCTCAATGGAAGTTGTCTTACAATGCAGCAGGCCATACTGTGAGTTGATCTGGTACTATGACACAATACACTCCTTGTATTAGTTGATTTTAAGAGCACATTATTTATTTATTATTTTTTATCAAAAGTAAATATTATTTATGTCTCTAGAAGGAATGAGGAAGTATATTGTTTGTCATTACAAATTGATGTACTTTTATAATGAAAGAAAAACTATTATTATTTATTTATTACTTATTTCATTTCCCTCCTCCTTTCCCTCCTTATAGCTGTATGTGAAGATGGTGCTGTCAGATTTATTGATGGCAGTTCTGGTAGCTATGATTCATATGATACACGTACTGAAACCCTGAGTGGTAGCCTTCAGATATGTGTTAATGGAGAGTATAGATATGTGTGTGGGCTCAGTAATGCTTCATTCAATGCATCTGATATTGTGGCTGCTGCTTGTATTCAATTGGGATATGTCAGTAAGTTATTATTATTTGTAAAATGCAGCCATATTCATTTTAAATTTTTATACGTAATAGATTCTTCCAGTAGCTACACTAATCAGTATTTCTATCCAAGTTCTAATCCAGTGATAGAGAGTATATCATGTCCATACAATGGATCTCACTTTTCTCTGTGTTCCATTAACACTACAACTGATCCTAACTCCTGCTATGATTATGATCGTGTGTTAGGTGGTACTTGCAACAGAAGTAAGTACTACAAACTTTATTTTTGCTTTTTAATACACTTGTTATTGTTAATATTCTTATCATTTCCACAGTTACTCCAGCCTGTACTAGGTTATTCCAGATGGCTGATCGTGGTACCTTTAATTATATTAATGGTACTTATGTTGCAACAGGACGTATTGAGGCTTGTGTTAATAATGTTTATTATCCTGTGTGTACCAATGGTCTTAATAATACACTATCATCACCACCTCCTACCTACTATCAATTGGATGGTGTTTGCAATAATGTATTTTACAGCGGTAAGATTTGATTTTTAATGTACAATTATGATTCTTCATTCAATGCTCTAGGGTACACTTATTTACCAGATCAGTATATTGGATCTCGTTCTGATTATTATAATTCAACTGGTTCTACTCGTGTCATAAGCTCAATCAGTTGTCCTAATGGTGCTAATCGTGCTACAACTTGTAATGTCACATTCTCTGATAATGGTGTCTC